CAAAGGAGGTACTGTAAACAAATGGTTAGGCATAGAGGAAACACTTTCCGTTTATATTGTATGATATTAAAATACGTAATTAAAAAGAGAACACTTGTTTAGACTGAAACGTTTATGGGATATTGGACACTATCCTCACTGTCTACAGGATCTGGAGCTTCTGGTAAATATCATTTGTCTATCTTCTCTAAAGTTCTAGCTCCTTACTCTGGACATTAAAACTGATTTTGTGGTTTCTATTACTTAAGTGTAGTAAGTCATTAACGTACCATATATACCTTGCGGACTTCTATACTACATATCTGTGTACAGTAGAACAGGCCTTTTATGTCTATACTACATATCTGTGTACAGTAGAACACGCCTTTTATGTCTATTTGTTTTATTTAGCAGACCCCTTATGCCTTCATATTCTAGTACTGTAGCTCATCCCTTATAACCATTGCTGGTAAACCTAGGCAGGCCCTATCTAGCCTTTACTGATGTGCTGTAACCCTAGGCAGGCCCTATCTAGCCTTTACTGATGTGCTGTAACCCTAGGCAGGCCCTATCTAGCCTTTACTGATGTGCGGTAAACCTAGCCAGGCCCTATCTAGCCTTTACTGATGTGCTGTAACCCTAGGCAGGCCCTATCTAGCCTTTACTGATGTGCTGTAAACCTAGGCAGGCCCTATCTAGCCTTTACTGATGTGCTGTACCTAGCATTGGTGTTTTGTGGCGAGCCCTTATACCTATTATTGGTGTAGTGTGGTATGTCCTTTTATACAAGTTCAAATTCAAAATTTTATTTGCACATTTGTAACTACAAAGTAGTTTGAAGGCAAAATAGAAAAACACAGTGAAATATATATACATAGACATGTATATGTGGAAAAGTCGCAAAGTGATTGCTTATACTTCTAATATACATTAACATAAACAAAATTAACATAGCTTCAAATAGAAAATTTGATTTAAACATTTTTAGCTGCAAAGTCCATACCTTATACTGTCAGCAAGCCCACTCCTCAGTTCTAGAGACTGTTTAATGAATAAGCAAGAGTTCAGTATAAATTGGGAGTTGTTTGTAGATAATATTGAAGTCAAATAATTGGTATCTAAGGTAACATCATTGTGATTAGGAATGCATTTTTGGAAGTATTCTTTTCTGCCATAGCATTGGTGTAGTATGGCAGGTCCTTATTCCTATTATTGGTATACCTAGCATTAGGGTAGTGTGGCAGGCCCCTTATACCTCTTGTTGATGGTGTAGTATGGCAGGCCCTTATACCTATTATTGGTATACCTAGCATTAGTGTAGTGTGGCAGGCCCTTTATACCTCTTGTTGATGCACTGTGGCAGGCCCTTTATACCCATTGTTGGTGTAGTGTGACAAGCCCTTTATGCCTGATGATATTGTAAGAATACAGGCCCTTTTTACCTGTTTACTTGTATAAACATGTACAACTTGTATACAGAGACGCCGGGGCCTTTTTACCTGTTTATTTTCATATACATGTACAACTTGTATACAGAGACGGGCCCTTTTTACCTGTTGACTTTTATAAACATGTACAACTTGTATACAGAGTCGGGCCCTTTTTACCTGTTTACTTTTATAAACATGTACAACTTGTATACAGAGTCGGGCCCTTTTTACCTGTTTACTTTTATAAACATGTACCACTTGTATACAGAGACGGGCCCTTTTTACATGTTTACTTTTATAAACATGTACAACTTGTATACAGAGACAGGCCCTTTTTACCTGTTTACTTTTATAAACATGTATAACTTGTATAAAGAGACGGGCCTGTTTTACCTGTTTACTTTTATAAACATGTACAACTTGTATACAGAGACAGGCCCTTTTTACCTGTTTACTTTTATAAACATGTACCACTTGTATACAGAGACGGGCCCTTTTTACATGTTTACTTTTATAAACATGTACAACTTGTATACAGAGACAGGCCCGTTTTACCTGTTTACTTTTATAAACATGTATAACTTGTATACAGCGACAGGCCCGTTTTACCTGTTTACTTTTATCAACATGTACAACTTGTATACAGAGACAGGCCCTTTTTACCTGGTTACTTTTATAAACATGTATAACTTGTATACAGCGACAGGCCCGTTTTACCTGTTTACTTTTATCAACATGTACAACTTGTATACAGAGACAGGCCCTTTTTACCTGTTTACTTTTATAAACATGTATAACTTGTATAAAGAGACGGGCCTGTTTTACCTGTTTACTTTTATAAACATGTATAACTTGTATAAAGAGACGGGCCTGTTTTACCTGTTTACTTTTATAAACATGTACAACTTGTATACAGAGTCGGGCCCTTTTTACCTGTTTACTTTTATAAACATGTATAACTTGTATAAAGAGACGGGCCTGTTTTACCTGTTTACTTTTATAAACATGTACAACTTGTATACAGAGACAGGCCCGTTTTACCTGTTTACTTTTATATACATGTACAACTTGTATACAGAGACGCCGGGCCCTTTTTACCTGTTTATTTTCATATACATGTACAACTTGTATACAGAGACGGGCCCTTTTTACCTGTTGACTTTTATAAACATGTACAACTTGTATACAGAGTCGGGCCCTTTTTACCTGTTTACTTTTATAAACATGTATAACTTGTATAAAGAGACGGGCCTGTTTTACCTGTTTACTTTTATAAACATGTATAACTTGTATAAAGAGACGGGCCTGTTTTACCTGTTTACTTTTATAAACATGTACAACTTGTATACAGAGACGGGCCCTTTTTACCTGTAGCTGGTGTACTGTTAACCACTGACAGGTTTGACAAATGAGGTGGGGGATTTGACACCCCTGTCTGATCCATCACCAGCCACCAGGGGGCAGCACTGGTATGGTAAACCTATACAGCTGAGCTGGTGTCCAATGGGTGCTAGCTTTAACACTGTTTTTAGAGAAATCTGATCCCAGGATGTGGTTTAGTTACAACACAGAGTTTCATCCATCTCACTGACACCAGGAGACGACTTCTCACACTGGCATGGCTGCCTTCCCATCAATCTATCATCAATGTACAGTGGCTAGCCAGCCTGTTCCTTAGAGGATAATTTAATCTGTAGTCTGTTTAATACAGAAACCTGTCTAATACAACACTTTATTGTTTTATATGTTTATCTACCTCCCCATCAATCTATCATCAATGTGCAGTAGTGAACGTTCCTGTTCACAGAGGATAATTTAACATGTACAGAAGCCTGTCTAATGCAGAAACCTTTATAATATGGAAACCTGTCCAATATGACATTTTAATGTTTTATGTTTATTACTGGATGAACACTGGTAGCGTTCTGTGACATATTACAATGTTTCCAGTCAGCTGTGCGTTCTTATTGTACAAGTTATAAATCAGTATGTATTGGAACAGGTGGACTAAGGTTAACTCCTTCGCCCATATATATTAAAACTGGACTTAATTTCCCAGTCTTTGATTGGTAAGGTTCAAATTTGGCTTTAGGGGTGAATGGGTTAAATACTTGAGTGTTCCTAGCCTTAATAATTTAAACCTGCATAACCCCAAAACTTGTATAAAAATAATATACCTGGTACAAAATCTTTAAAAAATAAATAATGTCAATAATAAAATCTTCAGCTAAGTTACTTGTGCTTGCTGTACACTGTCTGTGACCTGTTTTGTGTCGCTGTACGGAGAATAGCTAATCCAAAAATATGATCATTTTTTTTAATTAAAAATTGAATTGTTTGGACTTACAAACTTTGTAGCAGGTCCTGCTCCTCCCTGTGATTATAGCTACACTAGCTATACTGGCTACACTAGCTACACTAGCTATACTGGCGACCCTGTTCAGCTGTTTATACTACGACATGATTTAAAGACGTAGTATCTCAGTCTGTGGCTCCAGCCGTGTCTGAGGTATATAGCATACAAATATATTAATGTAGAGCTGCTGAACAACACCAGGATATCGACAAAATGTAAAATTATGTCTAAATAAAATCAAAAGTTCTGCTATAAAACATTTAAAACAAAAGTAAAATGTACTCGAGTGGCGAGTTCCTGCACACTGCAGTGGCGGATCCAGAGGTTTTTTTTGGGCTTCAGGAACCCCCCACCCCCACCCCACCCTGAGAATTTTCTTTAAAAATCATGTATTTTCACCATTTTCCTCAATTTTTCCCCACATGGAAACACCCCCAAATAGGTCTCTGGATCCACCACTGCACTGTAGATGTACAACAAAGAAAATCTTAGGAAACTGTCTCTTTTCATAGCATCATAGCACAAAGAATAAACATGCTGTGCATTCATTTTGTATGAACATAAATATTTTATATGTAAATGTTTCCCCCTATAGATAAACATGCCTCCCTCACAGCACACTGACTCTGATATACTATCTATTGCTGGGCAGTGCCTTCTCAGTTCCCTGGATTGCCTGGCAGGCTGGCCATTGGCTCATTCCCTTGCAGCGTATATTTGTATTTATCATAGATTGTAGATCGCCTCAAATTCTACAAGTGTTTTCATTGAGAAGTTTACACCAGTTGTTAATATCTGTCAGAACCATATAACACTTCACTGTTAGCCGGAGGCACGCTTTGAGAAACTCGGTCCGACACACTGCTACCTGTACAAGTTACCTCCCTTGGCCTGTGTACAGCCTCAAGGCTAATATCCCCACCAAGATACAAGTGAACTCCAGGAAAAAAAAAAAATAGATGTGTGGATTAAATTTGGGTTAACAGCTAATCTTGTCTAACCAAACCCTTTATAATCTGGAACATGGGTAAACTGTCCCAACAAAATTACCCTCATACAGAATGAACTAATCCAATTACAAGTGAATGGATCAGTTGATTACAATTACAAGGTGTGATAATATATCTACATTGTTCTAGAAACTTTATACAAAGAAACTTGTTTTGTTGGATACCATTTAATGACTTAACTCCGACTTTTTTGTGACCATCTTTTTTTTAATTTATCTTTTTCAGAATCTGGAGGAAGATTTGATAGACAATAGATGTACTAGAAATCATGTAAGTATTTTTTTCAATCTCTTTTGTCAAATTGATATTATATTTGACTGCTAATAAACTGAATCAAGATCTACAGTGACTGGAATCTATGAACTGGAGTCCGGAGGTTATTCCATACTCCAGTTAGACCTTACAGTACATATAAGGATTATTGAGAAGGTTATTCCATACTCCAGTAAGACCTTACAGTGTGACATATAAGGATTATTGAGAAGGTTATACCATACTCCAGTTAGACCTTACAGTACATATAAGGATTATTGAGGAGGTTATTCCATACTCCAGTTAGACCTTACAGTACATATAAGGATTATTGAGGAGGTTATTCCATACTCCAGTTAGACCTTACAGTACATATAAGGATTATTGAGGAGGTTATTCCATACTCCAGTTAGACCTTACAGTACATATAAGGATTATTGAGGAGGTTATTCCATACTCCAGTTAGACCTTACAGTACATATAAGGATTATTGAGGAGGTTATTCCATACTCCAGTTAGACCTTACAGTACATATAAGGATTATTGAGGAGGTTATTCCATACTCCAGTTAGACCTTACAGTACATATAAGGATTATTGAGGAGGTTATTCCATACTCCAGTTAGACCTTACAGTACATATAAGGATTATTGAGGAGGTTATTCCATACTCCAGTTAGACCTTACAGTACATATAAGGATTATTGAGGAGGTTATTCCATACTCCAGTTAGACCTTACAGTACATATAAGGATTATTGAGGAGGTTATTCCATACTCCAGTTAGACCTTACAGTACATAGAAGGATTATTGAGGAGGTTATACCATACTCCAGTTAGACCTTACAGTACATATAAGGATTATTGAGGAGGTTATTCCATACTCCAGTTAGACCTTACAGTACATATAAGGATTATTGAAATTCAGCTCTCAATAGCCCATCACTTAGCTTGGCTTTAGAGATAGCTAGGATAATCTTTATATATTCCCTGATATAAAAGAACGTATCTCTAGAATGAAAACTGGACATTTACCAAGTCCGCTTTCTGTACCACAAAGACAAACTGTACACCTAGTTACCATGGTGATTGGACATTAATGTCCCTAATGTCTAATTTTATAATTACCTGTACTTTTGAAATGAAAATTTAGCTTTATACAGTTAAAGATTGTAACATTTCGGTACAGCAATATCATGTCACTATATTCGTATCAGCCCCTTCCCTCCCTCCCTATAAAACAAAATTGGTAAAGTGTGTCCCTATATTTCCTGCCCCATATCCAAACCTATTTGTTCCTGTTGCCCAGCCTAGCCCCATTTCCCCCCCCCCCCCCCTAC